TCCCAATCTTACTTAAGTTAATTATAAATTGTGTTTTCCAGTGGAAAATAAATTTCCTCTATAACATGATTGTGTGAATTAATGACCCACTGGATTAAAGAAACAAATAAAACAAAGTAACAACATTTGATGAAGGTGGAACGAGACAGCTATCAACTTCTATATCCTGTCCCTTCTCATCAGTTTCTTGGTACTGCAGAGAATGGGTGATACTCTTTTAAAACTATGTATATGTAATATATGATTTAAATATAAGTAAGTATAGTCATTTTGTACCCCATTTACTGTCCAGTCCAGAGCCAAGCACAAAACTGAATGATAATTGTTGACCCATGTTCAAAATGTAGATGTAAAATTTTCTGATTCATGAGCCCAGGACAATTCCCTTTATTTCAGGCTGCTGTTAAACAGCCTGAATGGAGCTTGTGGAAGGTAAAAGAAAGAAGATCTTTTGTAAAGATATGGTCTTTCACGGCTGATTCAGCATATTAGAGGAGAGAGGCTACCAGGCATCGAGCAAAGCTCTCTCTCTAGTTGTCCTCACCTTGAAAAACCTGCTCTTCATCCCACCACTCCTTCAGGTTGGCCTCCTTGGGACAGTCAGAAGGAAGTGGAAGGGATGCAGTATTGTCCCAGTATCTGAAAAGAATTAACCAACAGGATAATTAAATTGTGGCTGGGGGAGAGTTTTATTTGTTGGAGTACAAAGAATCTATTCTATTACAAACCTATTAGAAAACTTCATGGTCATTATTACAGGGATTATTATAGTTTTCACATTTTAATAGGTTTTGAAGAAGTTCCATGGTCTTGACATTATTCTAATGATGTGCACGCTGTGGTTGTGACGGGGCTTCTGTGAAATCAAGCCTTTTCAGCCCTTGGACACACATCCAACCCAGGAGGTCATCTAGGAGAGGGGTGAAGTTTGCTTTCGGGGCTGTAAACCAGTCAAAATCCACAAAAGGGAAGCTTTAAATTTCCACAATGGGAAGGGAGTTGTTAAAGCTGGCTTTTAGAGTGATGAAAGTGTAGTTTGGTATTCTGAATACATTCTCTGTTATCCCCTCCCATCCTCTGCTCTGGAGTCTGAGTGCTTGTATTTAGAAACTGGTAGAACTGTTGTCTACATTAACATCGCCTCCTTTCTCCATTGATTTCTGTTGTGAATAGGTTTCCTTGAATTCATGGTCATCTGCATCTTTAGGGTTCCCCTAAGGGATATTGGATTTCCTGCTTGAAGGACTAATCAGAACCATTCATCAGCCATGAAAATAAGCACTAGCCTCTAAGCAGAAGGCCTAGAGGAAATCAGCACTGGCTTACTGAAAATCAGGCAGGAGGGATAGAAGAAATATATTTATTTATGAATACTGTATATTTTGAGAAGGGATTTGGAGTGACAAAAGAAAAATATTTTTAATGTTTATGTGGATCGGGGGTTCAGTCTTCTCCAGGGGTAAGTACAGGTTGCAAGGAGGCACTCACATTTCCCCTGGTCCATGATCAGGGCTGCGTGGCAAGGAGACAGGGCTTTGACCTTAGGCAGAAGGGGCGAGAATCTGTGCTCTGCATGCCATTGACTTGCTGACCTCCATTTCCACATCTGTAATTAAATTATATATGATATTATCCTTATCTCTACTATACTTGTCCTCAGAGAATTGTGCAGATTAAATAATGTCCTGTATATATCACAAAATTAGAACTCATAACTGCTAGCTGTGGGCTTGGCTTGGATTTTCCCTGGAGCAGGTCCTGAGACATAAATTTGAGTGTAAGATTATGTGGGTGGTGCAGGGGCTACTGGCTGGGAAGTGGGGGAAATAAACAGGGGAGACAGGTCGCTAGGAAAGGGTGAGTCAGCTATGAAGCCAGCTGTGCTGGGAGAAGCTCTGGGGAGCAGGACAAACATACCTCTCAGAAGCACTGCCTCCCAGGGCCGAGGTGGCCTGGTACTGACACAAGTCCTGGAAGCAGTTGCCTAGAAGTTACCCTGCCCAGTGTGGGCTCCTCAGCACCTTTGTACACTTCAGATTACTGGGTATGGGTCATTGTTTTCAGTATATTTTCAGTGTTCCAGGAAAAAGAGTTCTCAGGGCTGGAGTGCAGATCCCAAGAGTTGGAAGATTATAGGAGCCCTGAGAGGTTAAGCAATAGACCGCTTGACTGGGTTCCAGAGAGTAAATGGGGTACCTCCCAAACACTTTATCAGGAAGGTCCCTGAAGATGTACTACAGAAAAATGAGCATAAAAATCATGGGATGCAGGAAACAGCAGAACCAACCTGGGAAAGAGCAGAGAAGGGGGGTCCTGCCATGAGGGCGTGGTGGCCTGCCAGGGGCACTGTTGGGACTAGAAGGGAAGAGCAAGGGTCCTGGGGAGGGGGTTTCTGGGTAAAGGGAAAATAGGCAAAACACCCAACAAGATGGAGAATTGGAAAACTGAAAAAAAATGAGAGAGACTAATAGTTACTATGAAGAAAAACAATGAGGAATTCCAGGAGAGAAATAAGCTGGATGTGAAAACAAATATAATTATAGTTTCCTGCTTGAGCTTTCCACTGAACAATACTGACATAGTCAACTTTCCAACTCTTAAAACGGACCTATGGCAATGCAATTATAATTATGAGAAACCTATGAGAAAGCAGAAATACCTAAATACCAGAAATGCAGTGTAAGTATTACCAGCAAAGGTATAAGTTGGAGAGGGAAGGAAAGCTAAAGGGAAGGGTAAGGTATTAACATTGTTCTCTTCCAGAGCGAGGGCTCAAAAGATAACTGTAGGTGTTGGATCAAAAAAAGAAAATGAAGTCTGTGAATCTCTCTCTTTCTTATGTCTATATGGAAGCCAAAACAAAAAATTAAGTCTTAATGGAAATTTTGTGAAGTAAATGACTTGAAAAACACTTTTATGACCAGGTTAACGAGTATTTGATATAAAAAGCATGAAATCTTTTCACAGAAGTTCAGTCCTTTGAGAGTCTTGGAGATGATCTAGTCCATCCAGCTTTCTCACTTTATAGCTGTAGCAAAAACTCAGAGTTGAACAAGCAAATTTTCATAACCAGCTAGTTCTCAGGGTAAAGAGACTGGAGCTCCGTTCTCCTACCTGAAATTCCTCTCTTCTTCCTTACCTTGCTTTATTTAGAGCTAGAATTTTTAGTAAAGAGCTATTAGGATGCTTAGCAATAAGAGATGGCAGAAGCAGCTGTGGGAGACATTACGAGCATCCAGTGATATCTCATTCTCTTCTGGAAACAAGGAAAAAAGACGCTTTTCAGATCTCTTGTAGTTAAACGGGGTCATGTGACTAGTTTTCCCATTGGTGTGAAGCATTTAATTGCCAGTAAGCTATTTTCTCTCCCTCTCATCCACCGTCTTTACCAGTTGACCAAGGAGGAGTTATTTTCCACCTGGTATAGTTAAGCCATTGTCAGTTGGGGTCCCCAACTGACTGTGTAGAGGAGACCTTGTTGAAATGCACTGGACAGGAAGATCGAACAAAAAATAAACCTTGTGATGTTAAGTCACTGAGATTTTGGGGTTGTTTGTACTGCAGCATAGAGTATTTTAATATGAACATTAGTACTATTTTTATTAGAATTAATTTATAATATTCCTTAAAACCAATAATTTTATAATATAATGGTTTAGTACATGTATGAATAAGGCAAAAAATTGTATCTATGTGACTTTAATGTATTTTACCTAGAACATTCCATTCTAAATTGAAAAGGTACATATTTTTCCAGTGGTCTCAATTAAATTATTATATAACCTTTAAAATGAATTCCTGCCTTTAAATCTGCATTGAAAACCTAACTTTAAATTTTTCTGTGGTTTTAATTTTAAAATGACTTTCCTTTCATGTGTGTATTGCCATTATCACTTTATTATCCAATTATACATTTATAAGTTTTGTAACATTGACAACTAAAAAAAGAAAGAAAAATGGCTAAATCAATCACTATTAATAAGGAAGGTGAGAAATAATACATTTGCTACTTAGTACTTTGAAAATGTATAGAAAAATGTACACAAATATTTATAGTTCTATAACTTCTTTATGTGTACCATATCTCTTGTATCTGTTACTAGGATTTATAAGTTTTACAATTTCCATTGTCTTCAAACAGTATTTGTATAAATGTTAGCTTTCCTGAATGTTAATGTCTTGCTCTCAGTGCTGTATCTTATTGCAGCCCTCCAACCACAGGGCAGAAGTGACCTGAAGTTGTCATAGGGAAGGTAGATTTCATTGCATCATTTCCGTTTCCTTAAGTAGATGCTTGAAGACTCATGGGCAGAACAATGACTGGAGACGTAAGGGTAAGAATTTGACAGCTAACCAGATTTTTAAGCTATTATTTTACTTTTGGGAATGTTGGTCTCATGTATAATTGAATACTTTTCATTTGTTTTTTAAGAGTAAAGCATGCCAATATACCCATATGTGTCTGATCAATGAATAGAGTTACTTTTCATGAATAATTGACTGAGGGTCTGATATTAGTGTTTCTACACATGAGGAAAATGGCGTTTGTATTAGATTACATGTATATGTGTGCGTGTAGGTGTGTGTGTGTATATGTGTCTACACCCTTTCCTTTCTTAGGCTTGTCCAGCACTTTTCCATCCTATAATAAACAATATCTCTGATTTGCTGATCTGTCCACCATCTCTTCCCCTGCATTGTAGCCTCCTGGAAAGCCAACATCATGTCGTATTTTTCTAGTCTCAGCTTCGAACATAACTGAGGGTATCTTTTTGAATGAATAAAAATATATTTCCCTTAGCCTATATCATCATTCACACCTCTCCTCTATAAACCAACTATGTCCTATTTCATCTGTTCCAATTATTTATAAACAAAATGTTGTTTACCACCCCCCACCCAAAACCCAGGACTTCCTTTCTAAAATGCTTTCCAGTTTGGCTTGTTCCTGCCTCAGACCCAGACTTCTCACCCCTGTGGCCACTTCACGTGCACTTTACACTCTTGCACGCTTCTCTTTTGCTTCCTGCGGATTTCCTCGGCTTGCTGCTGACCACACCAGTATTCCGGTCACTGGGGCTGGTATTGGTGGCCGTGATCCTCAGGGTCATGTCATCTGACATCGCTTCTGCATTTCTCTTCAGTTAAAGTTCATGACCTTTCTCTCTCTGTCTGTTGCTGACTGCTCTCATCCTGAGGAGCCTCACTCCAGGCACGGACTTATGCATCGTGTCCCCTTTCTCCCCCACCCACTCCCCATGTATTTCCTGCCATTCTCCTTCGCTTCATCATCAGCTTTGTTCTTACCAGTGTCCCTATTCTTATTACTCTTTCGATTCTTCTGTTTCCTAGTTTCTCTCTCTCCACCAGGCATATCTAACCTGGCTGTCCAGATTCCAAAGGCAGTCTTCAGTCTGCTCAGAGAACTTCCTTCTGGTAGGCTGAATCTAAGCCTAGAAAACCAGGCATACAAGAAATAAAACGTTTTAGTTGTTTTTACTCCTGAATTTAATTTCCACTTTAAGTTCTCATTTCACGGGTAGCAGAGCCTAATCTTGGTCAATTGATGGTTCTCCTTTTCTCCCTGTTGACCCGAAGTTGGGGGGTGGGAGGAGGCACACTTACACAGAGTGATGGGAAGGGTCCTGTCCTCATTGCTAACCCGTCCATGTTCCATGGATGGAGTGTTCTTGCTCACATTTGACTCAGTAACCAGCCTGAGAGAGTTTCTACTGTGCCATCCTTGATCCCATTGGCAAGTTCTCCGTGTCCACGGTGCGTCCTGTTTTATCTGGCACCACGGCAGCCCCAGAACCTTTCTGCTTGGGCACAGCACACAGTCAGTTCTCCCCATGGTCTTTCCGTGGACTCAGAGTTTCACCCTCATTTCCCAAACCTTTCTGGACATTTCATGATTTCCACCCATTTCTCCCTAACCAGCCTTCCCCCACCCAGCTTTCCTCTCTCAATGAAGGAATCTTTTGCCTAGCCTGGGAGTGGGGTAGCCTAGCTGTTCCTCTTTGGGTCTTCTCTCCCAATTTTGTATTTATGTGCTGAATTCCATCCAATCTAGGCTTTTGAAATGCAAAGCCTTTTGCTCTGCTTTCTATGGCAACTTTCCCTTCCTGATACAATGAATGCAACAGGGTTGTGTGTGTGTTCAGTAAGAGAAACACAAGAGAGAGGGAAAAAAAATTAGTTAATATCTTAACCATTCTGCTCACTGCTCTAGCCTTCTCTGGTCGTAATGGCCATCCCTTCCATCCTTCACCCTTCCACAGCTACTACCACACCCTTGCTGCTGGTTCTTGGCCCCCAGAGGACACTGTACCTACTCACCTTTCTAACTGCACTGAGAGCTTCTGTCCCCAAGGCTACGTTGAACTCCCTGGACCTCCCAGCCTTCATCGAGTAAGCCCCTCCATGCTGGGATAAGAGCACAGGACTGGGATCAGAATACTCATTCCCCTCGTGGCTTCAGCTCCCACGGACTCTGAGAACCGTGAGAGTGGGCTTGTCCCACATTCCCTCGTATCATATAATTTCCTTATCTGCAAAATAGCAAGAATAACATCTCTTTCTCAGAAGAACTGTGAGAAGTAAATCTAAATGTATGCAGAAGTGCTTTATAAATGGCAAATATTTAGTTGAGTTATTATTCTTTTCCTGTCTCTCAGATTTTTTGCAACTCTCTGAGACCTCCAGCCCTGACTCTGAATCTTAGCGCATAAACAACAACAAATAAGTCAGTTAGTGAAAAACTTCTGATATTTTCCTGAAACAGATGAATGCATAAAAGCCTTGACTCACCTTAGTTGTTTTTTACCCTCAATTCTGAGCTGGCAGACATTTGATTGAACAGGATAAAGAAAAGTGGTGACTGGTCTGTTCCAAGTTCAGGTTGTTAGTTGTCAATATTTTTTTCTCCCCTCCCAGTTTCCTAGTATTTTCCCTCTATTGTTTAACCAGATATTCATCTATTTAAGCTTCAGTTTCCTTTCCACTTCCAACTGATGGCTAACTCTACACTGTGCCTGTAACCTGATAGATGCACATGTCTTCCTGATGAGTAAACATGGGATACCATTCATTGTCTTGATCATCCTCTTTTTCTGAACTCTCCTGTCTCCTTTCTTCACAGTTCCGCTTTGTAAATATCTCTCACAGCTCTTTCTGGCTCTTTAATTAATCAATCAATCAATTAATTAATTAATTTTGGTATTGTTAATATACAGTTACATGAACAACATTGCGGTTACTAGTTTCTCCCCATCATCAAGTCCCTGCCACATGCCCCATTACAGTCACTGTCCATCAGCGTAGTAAGATGCTCTAGAGTCACTACTGTCTTCTCTGTGCTGTACTGCCTTCCCCGTGCCCCCACTACATTATGTGTGCTAATCATAAGGTCCCTTATTCCCCTCCTCCCTCCCTTCCCACCCACCCTCCCCAGTCCCTTTCCCTTTGGTAACTGTCAGTCCATCCTTGGGTTCTGTTGGTTCTTTAATTTTTATTCCTGTCTTTGTTCCAGCAGCAGACACTCCTGAGATTTACATCTTCAAGATTAAATCCTTCCCCTGAGCCCTCTATCGATATTTCCATCTTGGATGGCCTGCCAACACCTCACCTTCAATATATCCCAAACCAAAATCATGATATTTCCCAAATCAACTTCCAGTTGACTCCGCTGAACCCATGGTACCCACGTCATAGACCCGTTTAGTTAGATGGAAATGAGATGATGGCTTGAAATTACTGAGCACAGTGCCCAACACGCTGTTTGTGCTCAATCAGTGTTTGCTAGTATTGATATTATGTGAATGAGTTGAGGATTTGTAAGGTTAAAAATTTTTCCTTATAATTGATCTTCATGGTGATTTTTCAGAAAACAATTGTTAATAATAACAGCTGCTATTATTTAAAATGGCAAGATGTTATGTTAAGGTAGGAAAAAAGAAAGAAAAGAATATTTAGGCTAAAGCACAAACTGCAAGTATGTGACATTTTTCTAAAGTTCACCGCAAAAGTTTCAAATCTCTACATTGAGCAAGACAGGCACTGCTGACTGAGCACACCAGATGAGAGGTGAAAAATCACCCAGTCCTCATGGTTTCTGAAATTATAGAAGGAAAAGGGGTTTTCTTAGGTTGCATCAGTGATTCAATGACAATTAAAACTAGTTTCTATCTTGGGATTAAATGAATGTAGAATGTAAATAGGGGACTGCTGAAAAAGAGTTTATTAAAAGATGTAGGAGACAACATAAAGACTTCAAAGTTTCCAGATAACCATCGGTTCACAAAAGATTGGCATCTATTTGGTTGTCTGTTCTACATTCCAGGTACACACACACACACACACACACACACACACACACACACACACATGCACACACACACACACACACACGTCATTGGAAGTTTGAAGGCTAAATGGTATTGCATTCAATCAGCATAATCATTTTAATTATTTATTTATTCTAGTTTTGTCAGTTCGATACATTTTGGTAAAAAAATCCAAAGCCACCCCTTTAGCAGATTAAATCCAGCATAGGGTAAAATAACAGTTATTTTAGTTACTGAATTTTTCAAAGAAAACCTAGAAAGAGGGAAATCTACAGCATTCCTCAAATCTTTCACTTGAAATTTGAATCTTGATCTGAGGTTTGCAGAGGGCAGAGAGCTTCTCCAAAGCTGCCACCACGATCCCTCTTCTCAGTCAATTTTATTTATGTAGAATCTTTCATCAAAAGATCACAAAGAGCTGTCTCACCAGCTATAAAGAAACATAAATCACAAAGAAAATGAAATGCTCAAACAATAAAATTATACATTAGAGGCCCATTTAAAGCAGAGCATTTTAAGATGCGAGAAAAGTCTTGGCTGGAGTATACAGAACGTAAGTTATAATGGGAAGCTATTTCATAATTTGGTGAAAAATGAAAAAGGCCCACTTCTAATAGTGGAGAGCCTATTATTAGGAATGATCACTTGCATACCAGCGCTTTAATGAAGGGGGTGAAGTGCATAATACGGTGCAGCGGAATTGACAAAGTGTGGAGGAACTCTTCCTGCCGCTTCAGGGAGGAAAAAACATTTTTTTTTTCATTCCCATAAACCGGCGTTGTGCCCAAGTATCCTGCTCTTTAGCATGCGTACTGCCAATTGCCGCTGTGCCTTTGTCAGGCCCTATGCTCAAGTCCCACAGTAAATATGTAACGCACATACCATATTCATGATATACACCTGCCACGCGGGGGCTCAAGGAAGCCAAGGTGATCCTTCAATCTCTTCTGTCATCTTTACTTGCTTCTTCAGCACAGATTAATTCAGTGTCCCCCAAGTCTCAGGATTTCCAATTTATAGTAGGGAAATATTCATTTTAATGTCCCCGAGCATAGGGAAAATACAAGAATCTTGTGATGCCAGTGCCTTAACAAAAAGCCGCAGAAGTCCTCTTAAGCTTGCTTGTATAGAGAAGTGAGAGAATTTTGAGACATCAGTCTTTTGTTTTATTGGCCTTAAAATAAATATCAAAAAGATGTTCTTTGGCATAAAGTTTATAACATTCAGATTAAAGTCTGCATTCTGAACTTTAGAATTTCAAATATCTCCAAGTTTCTGGTCTCCCTTTGTTCAAACCTGACTCTTCAAATAATTTATCTTAAGACTTGAGGACTATGCGTGACAACTTGTGTAGGAAAATTCACGAAAAGCATGATATTTACACCTTTGTTAAAGTTAAACGTCACACTCAAAGTGATGTACGCTCTGCATGCGATATATGCTGAGTTTAAATGATAATAGATACAGATTCTATTAGGTCATAGATACAAAATTTTAGCTTCTTCTTCACTTTGGATCTTAAGAATATGTGATTTATTGTTTGTGTGTTCCCCAGAAATTAAGAGTCAGCAAATAATAGGCTAATATACATACAAGGGAGGCTGAAAGAGGAGGAGAAAGAAAAGAAGCAATGTGAGCCTAAGATCATCTTAACTGACACTGAGTTAGTGACAGTTGAAGGAAGACCCAAAGGAAGAAAAGTGGCCAGCTACACAAGGAAGGGAACAAAAAGACCTTGGCAGAGGTAACAATGTGCAAAGAAAGGGGAAGAATTCAAC